GGGTATTTTTCCCCCTAAAATAAGATTGACATTCATGTTATGTTTATTAAAGCAAGCTAGATTCTGAGGAACTCAGATTATCTCCATCTACAGTCAGCTTCACCTAAAAGTCCTACACCTTTCTTTTCCATGGAACATCCACTTTATATTGTTTATCTATCAGAAAAAGATTGAGGCTGAACCATTTAATCTTTCAGTTTACTATGTATTTTGAGTAATAACTTCCTAACCAGCAGCATGTTCCTTACTTGTTTGAACCCCTGCCACAGCAAACCACTCCTTCCCATATACTATTTGGTCAAAAGATCATGACTTGCATTTATTTTCTTGTTCTACATCGCTCTTCCTCATTATGTTTCCATGTAGTTCAGAAGTCCGGATGAAAACTGTTCCTTTCTAGCACTCATTTAAAAACATGCTTCATCATGTAGGTAGAAGTCTAAATAATACAGTACTACTATATTTTGAAAAGAAATATCTAAAGAAATGATATACAGAAATTTCACCTCTGGGTGGGTGAACTGGGATCCAATTCACAATACTTTTCTGATGCCCTGAATCTCTTCCATCTCAAGACCTGGTTCTGCAAAGAGTCCAAGACATCTAAACCCTGCCCTGTCCCCAGCTCAGCCCTCAGTGTCAGCCCAGCTCACCACCAGTGCCCCGACTCTCAACCCAACCCTCACTGCTGCTCCACCTGCCCCCCCTTCCCCCACAGCTGCTCTCTGCCCTGCACACATCTGCTGTTGCTTCCTCCTGGCATACTTTCATGATGATGCTTTTGCAACTCATTAGCTACTAGCACATACAACTTTTCCCATAAGTTTGCTAGGGCAATGGCCTTGTCTAACTGTCTGAAAAAGTCGTAGCTATAACTTCTAATAAATTGCCTGAGCAACATCTTTCTTTAGCTTTAAGAGGAAAATGCATCCAGAGTCAAGCACACAGGGTAACCCAAAGATCAACAGAGGACAAACCCCAACATGGTTCTACACAATTAAGACTAATAGTAGTTATGCTCTTTGTCAGTGGAGGTTTTTATTCAAAGTATTTGTTGGTTTATTTGTGTAATTGCCATTCCACATTACTATTCCACAGAAAACAAAATTCATCACTCATGTGCCTTACCATCTTTTCCTTAAGTTGTTTTCTAGGCAGAAGGTCTTTTACAGGCAAGCAGAAGATTCCTTGCTTCCACAAAAGATAAAAACCTTTCTGCTTAGGGAATTCACAGGCAGAACTTACCTTTCTGGGGGTTGAGGAGAAGCAGCAGCAGGAACAGGATTCTTTGTTCCTTTAATATTGTGTCACAGTTTAACCTCAGTTGGCAACTAAGCCCTGCACAGCCACTTGCTCACTCCCCTCCGGTGGGATGGGGGAGAGAATCGGAAGAGTAAAAATGAGAAAACTCATGGGTTGAGCTAAAGGCAGTTTAATAAGTAAAGCAAACCAAGGAATTCATCCACCAGCTCCCATGGCAGGCAGGTGTTCATCCATCTCCAGGAGAGCCGAGCTCCATCATGTGTAACGGGGACTTGGGAAGACAAACGCTGTGAACATCCCCCCGTCCTCCTTCCCCCAGCTTTACACGCTGGACATGATGCCGTATGGTCTGGGACACTCCAGTTGGGGTCAGCTGTCCCAGCTGTGTCCCCTCCCAGCTCCCTGTGCCCCCCAGCCTGCTCGCGGGTGGGCTGGAGTGAGAGGCAGGGAAGGCCTCGACTCTGTGTAAGTGCTGCTCAGCAGCAACTAAAACATCCCTGTGTTACACCAACACTGTTCTCAGCACAAATCCAAAACACGGTAGCTACTGCAAAGAAAATTAACTCTAACCCAGCCAAAACCAGCACATACTGCTCTCACTTCTAGAAAACAAGATCTTGTACAATGCTGACTACCTAATGATCAATTTTTAGCTATGCTGATTTTCATTATATGGAAGAATTTAAGCAGAATACAGCAGTTACATTTGACTGGCTTTAACTTTATCATATGCCAAGATCTGTGAGCACAGTTGCAAGAAAGCAACAGATGCCACAAAATAGAAGGAAAAAATATGCAAAATATTTTCATGTGAAAAGACAATACTTTAAGTATGTTATGGCACAAGAAAGCCTCAATTCCAGACATCTTCCCCACCTGCTAGTTATAATTCTGCAAAAGATTTGTAAGCATGCAAATATTACCTAAGATGCTAATGACTATATAATCAAAATAAATTACAGCAGTATAGGTAAAGCAGTAGTATTTGGCAGTAACTAGTTAACCCTAATCAGTTTTATTCATTTGTTGAAATGACATCCTATTTTCATTTGTAGCATTAATATTTCCATTTAAACAAAAAATTATTGTGTCATATGCCAAGTAGCTCAACATGTAATTGTCTCAGCAATCAAAAGTTCAGTAGTCCCATTTAAAGTACACGCACCCAATGTCAAGTACCAAATGTTCTCAATTATGTACATTAGTCATCTTATGCTGTTTGAATCTCAAAGTAGAGTGACAGCAAAATCTAAACCATTTGCATAAAAAAAGGTTTTCTTCTAACATTCCATAGCATTTAAAGCATGATTTCTTCCCTGTAGTATTATTTAAGTTCCCATGTGTAGTCAACATCAAGAGTAAGAACTATTTCATGGGTATATGTTTGCTTCCTCTAGTACCATGAAATATCTTCACGAGAAATAAGATATTCTCAGTTTGTGTAGGCTTCATTAATAAGACACTTAAGGATTTGGATAGTAAATTTGTTCGATGAAGTGATACAACTAGAATCTGGTTGTATCATGTAAATGATGTATGGATTTATGATTATTCTGTTCCACAATAGCAGCAACAGCCACCAGGCTGGGCCTAAATTTAACTATGGAGAAACAGGCTGGTAACAAGTTCAAACTGCATTGGAAAGTGACAAGCCACATCTGCTCTTTTAAGTTTACTTTGCCACATCTTTAGTCACTTCTGCTGTCACTCAAAATGTTACATTCAATGTTTTTTCAAATGAGTGATGAGCTAAAGCCACTCGCATGCAGCCGTAGTTACCAAAATTCCAGGCATTACTTCTGAACTGGCACAACTGTAAATGAGCATATCCAAACAGTTGTCTTAGACACCTAAGTACATTCAACAGATTCATAAAGACACATATAGGTAGCAATTGCTCCAAAAGCTACCTACAAAATTTTATGCAAGAGATGGCCCTGCCCCCCACCGCACACCTGTAACACACACCACCATGTTTCTACTACAGGTGACGATTTAACTCAAGACATGTATTTGTAAGGTATGTTTGTACAGTATCTGGAAGCCTTCTGGTGGTGGTGGTGGGAGAATTGCAGTCAGCATCACTAATACACTGCAAGCTACCAAAGGAAACGGTGATTGGGATAAAGCTAGAGCACACCAAATACAAAAGTTTATATAGCACGTTTACATTTACTATCTTTGGCTGAGGAGCACTATCTGACATCAGCTGGAAGTGCCATCTCTTCACATAGCAAGGCACGTCAGGAGTCCTGGAGTCCAAGGCACCAACAGAAGTTAACATACAGCAGATCAAGTCATCGCATCTAAAACCCAATGGGTTGTAAGATTCTCCCCCAAGATATTTTTTCATAATGGATTTAAAAGGAGAAGTCTTAAAGAGATTTCACTGTAACTACCTTTACTTAGGAAGTGGCTAACCCGTTCACTAGAGGGAGCTTGAACTGTAGTGTAGAATCAGATGAAATAATCTTAAACTTCCATATAAATGCTGAAAAAAACAATAGAACTAGATTAAATATTCTCCTCAGAATTATTCTGGATACAGTGTCACCAGAAAATTAAAGGTACTTAAGATATGTCTCATAAGAACATGACAACACAGAGCACATGCATTACAGTTTCTTAGCTTTTATTGAGTTTTTTTGTTTGTTTGTTTTAGGGTTTTTTTGTTTTTTTTTTTTAAACAAAACCTTTCTACAAAATACTGCACCTCTTCATCAAATTATGGACAGCTTTAGAGGTATGTAATGTCCCAAATGCAATATAGACTACATTTTGAAAGGAAGAAAAAGATTTACTTTAATTATTAGTATAAATACAAGAATGTATAGAGTTTCAAAAGAACACTATCCCACAAAATGCATAAAAAGATTCACATGCACCTTTGCAATCAGGTCAGTCTGAAAGTTGAACAATTGCACACTAGGAGAGAAAAATATGTTAAGAATTCTGAATCCAGGAACTGGAAGAAATTCAGGAGCACATGACTTAGTTGAGCTGTGTATGAACATTGGCTAGTCTGTCTTGCTCAGGGTTGACCCCTGTCTTATTGTATAATAAAACTTCTGTACAAGTACTTATCTTTCAGAATTGCACTGTGTTTCAAACAAGTAACAATTAACACATTTAGAGACTTAGCCAAAACTCAGGACAAGGCAACACTCCAGGTCACATTGCCAGGGCACTTCACAGGAGCACTCTGGGAAGTTATCGAAAGTGCAATTCATTAATACTTCTCATAAAACAAGGCAGATCAATGCCTAAGTTAGGAACCTGTACATTTATGTGTGACATAAGTTTACTCAGTATTTCCTGCTGAAGCAGGATTCCAAATTGTTCAGGCTGCTTCCAGAAATGTAAAGTTTTATTGCTGAGCACACTGTGTTTCAGAAGTTGGCTTAGAAGATACATACAACGTTGTATATTTTTTCTTTTGTGTTTTCTTCTCAGTCATGATTTTATTTTCTTTCTTATCTTCTTTTTCCGTAGTTTCAAATCTGGATTCAGCTGTTAACCTACAGGCAAAGCAACCATTCTAAATACATATTTAGTTAATAAAGAACAGGGCTTAAATAAGAGTTTTAAGCAAAATCAGCCAACTGGCATACAACACCATCCATATGCAAAGACAAAGCAAGCAGAGTTTAAAAATAAAATGAGCCAAAATAAAGCATTTTTATATCTGCCCTATTCACATTTCATGACAAAATACAGCCTTCCCCCCCCCCTTAAACTGCTGAAACATTTGGTAAAAAAGGTTACTGAATGGGTTTGGTTGGGATCAGCCTTTGAATAAAAACATTCACTGTGCCATGCACATAAAGGAGATCAAGTCCACAAAAACAAGATCAAGTCCAGATGAAGAGTCCCAGCAACATAATACAAACATGATGAAGTGAAGCATTTTGCTTTAACACCACCACCACCACAAAAAAAGGGACTACACTTATAGCAATATACTAATTTCCAACCTAGTTCTGCACTACTACTGCCTTTATCTTAATGTCTGAATACCTGAAAAGATGTTGCTGGAGAAAAAAAAATATTTTCAGGCTCTGAACTACATCATTTGTCTACTGACATGTTTTAATTCTGCTATGAATGTAAATGGGGATAAAACTGCCACATTGCTGTTAAAGAGGTAAGGTAAAAACAAGATATAGACATCTGAGCACAATCAGACCTTCTGATTATTTAAGAATTACTTAAAGGTACTTAAACATGTCATTAGAACAAATGGATAAATAGTGGTATTTACTCAACCAAATCACCCATGACCAATTGACTGTTACACATGATTATTTCCACAGCAAAACAAATTATGGAAAATGAAGCTTCAAATGAACATCGCTTTACATACTAACACAAAGTCTATGCTGATTCATCACATCTGTTAAAACAACTCTCTAGTGACCTTGTGGATTTCTAGGGGTCTCAAGAGCCTCCAGTGACCAACCCACCACGATCTACAGCTGCTTTCAGTGATGGTTTTCCAAACAAGAATAGCTCCTACCCAGCCCCACCCCCCACTATCTTTACAGACACATATAAGCTATTCTATCCACTGCAAGCAATCTGCACATTATTTCCTCTAAGCACTGTCTCAATAGACTATGGAGAAATATGCTTTGCTGTGCATCTCCCCTAGGTCCAGTGTTTGCTCGACATTTGCTTTGTAGCAAGTGCACACCTGTAACTGATGGCTAACCATTTTTTGTCCAGTCAGCTTCCCCCCAACTGCCCTCCGTTTTAGATGTGCTGCTACTTGCAAGCAGCCAAATAATTAAGTGGTTACAACAAGAACCAATTATTCAGGGAAGGATTAAAAAGTATATTATTAGTAATTATCTTATGGTTAGTGTTTAGTCTGCAGTTCAGTCTATGCTTCCCTAGCAGCTGTCACTGGGGATGGATTGCTTGTGCCTGTGCAAACTGTTCCTAGGGTAGAATCTCTTCATTTGTCCCTCCACTCTTCCGCCTTAAAACAACCTCTGCCCAAGGCCAAAAAATCAGTACTCTAAGAGGCCAAAATTTCCAATAAAATTTTCCTGTAAAGACACTGAACAAAGCAATAACTCAAACCAAAACATCAAATAAAAATTGCTTTGACTTAAATTATGTTCCAAAGCAGCACAACTGGATTTATACAAAACACTCCCCCTTTACAGTATTAGGTAACTTTGTTAGTATATAGTGTAAAAACTCTGGAAATCAAATTCACATCAGAAAGACCACATTGTTTCATAAGAGTAAATAGCTATTAGAATTAGTTATTTAAAAAACCCACCATCTTTTTATGCTTTGAATGCACACCAAAATGTTTGTGCAAGTCAGCATGAGGAAAGCAAACTTCCCCAGACTAGAACTATGTTAATAATTACCTCAAGTAATTTATCCAAGGACTGATACTGACTTATGAAGATGAAATGAATAATCCATTTCATGTTAGTAAGCTACACTTTTAAGTTAGTTACAGCTTTTATCTGGATCAGCAATACACTGCTATAATTCATTTCACTTATAAATACCTTAGTTTACAGCAGTGAGGTATTCAGAAATGTCTAAAGATTCAAATAATTGAGCTTTAATGTGACAATGAACAGACAACTCAAGCAACTAATTTTTTCTCTTTCATTCTTAGTATCTTACAGTTGGCCTGCAAATGCTTCAGGACTGATTATTCTACAGTCTATTAGTTGTTGTGCCATACTTTCACTACCCTATTGATTTTTTTTAAAAAAATAACACATTTTACTACTGTGTAGTGGATCATGTCTGCAGGCCGCTACATACAAAAGGGACAAGTGAATGAGTTAACAGATTCCAAAGTCAGTTTCAGAGCATGATTCTCCTTAAGTCTCATGGAGTTCAAAAATCAGCCAGCCCCTTTTAAAATTCTTTTCTACCAACCTTTGTGATAATTAAGAAGCAGCAGAAACAAGGTGTTATGAAGTAACTGCAACCCTCTTTCCCCATCTCCCCTGTGCCACTTGGTGAGGAGGAGGTAGAAGTGGGAAATGAAGGAGTGAAGTTGAGCCTGGGAAGAAGGGTTGGGGGTGGAGGAAAGGTGGTTTTCTTTCTCACTGTCCCACTATTTTCAATTGGCAATGAGTTCATCCTCCCCAAGTCAAATCTGTTTTGCCTGTGACTAATTAATCCCTGTGTTTATCTCAACCCACAAGCTTTTTCCATCTTTTTCTCCCCCATCCTCTTGAAGAGGGGGAGCAAGAACAGTTGAGTGGGCACCTGGCAACAAGCCAGAAGTGATCCACCACAGCCCTCACACCAAGGCAGCTCCAACCTGTCCTTGGAGCATTGCCATATGTCGTGAAGTGTTAGCACAGGGAAATGGACTGATCAGTAAGAAGAGATGACAGTTAATCACTTGCGCTTAAAAAAAATGCTTGTGAAACTCTGATATGATTCCATCAAGCTTTTACTCTGTAAACTCCTAAAACTAGATGTAATGGGGCTTCCTTCTACCCATTTAAGGAAGATCAACTAGTCTTATCAGATGGAGCTTTACTTCTTGAGAAGGAATGCCATGCCTAAAACCCCAAAGAGAGTATAGTTATCTGAATCTCCTGCTGAGCCAAACGGCTATAGGCACTTGACCAAAGTCCAAATGAGGCAATTTGGTGTATGTAATCCAAAGAAATAATTTAAAGAACAAATAAGCTCTTAGGTACACAAGCACTTCTTTAGATCAAACTAAAGAAAACAATGTCAAATCTATAGGCAAATTAAGTGGGACAGCAAGGGCTGGATTTTACTACTTCAGTTTCAGAAGTGAAGAACAGCACTTCAATACAGAAGTGTATCTTTCTACTGACTGCTTGGCCTAACAAAAGATATCACTACCCATAACCTGTGTTGCCTCAATTACAATAGCAATTAACAAGTAATATTATTCACTTAAATATTTAAATCTTTAGTCTCTACTAGTATGCTCTCAACATCACAGACCATAATCTAATCAGTACCATCACCTAATAAAGTATTCCTATGTTTACTTTGTTCAAACTTTTCTAAATAGACACACTGAAGATATGTACATGTTATTAGTTCTAAGTTATCAAGCTTTACCTTGCTAACCACTAAGACTCTTCAAATAAATCTGTCACCCATACAAGTACATACAGATCACTTTGACCACCTTCTCATCATCTCCTAAACTGAGACAACAAATCATTTCCTAGAAATTAAGTTTGTAATCCTTTCACAGTTACTCTTTTCACAGCCACATCTCATGGACCAATGATGACAGAGCTAGACTTATTATTGCCCAAAAATTACACCAATTACAAAAATAACCCCAATGACCACAAAGAGCCTTTTCATCCAGAGCATCACATTTCACTTAACACAAGACAAAACACTGAAAGTTACCCACCATGCACCCTCCCCCAAACTCTCCATTTTCAGGTCCACATTCCTGCTCCGGTTGCCAATATTTTTTTCTGCCTTTGCATTTACCTCTATTCCCACACAGGGTTTGGCCACATCTGTCACAGAACAGTCCAGAGATTCTTTGGGTGTTTAAAAACCCAACTTCTCAAATACTCAGATTTTATCACAACTTCCTATTTCATAAGAAATCATAATAGATCAGGGTTAAGGAAAGCCTCATGTTTTCTTAATACCCTCACTAATTGGAGATTTAGCAGTTCATTAATGCAATCAGAAATGTGAATAAAACTTTCTGCCCGGATTTACCTTTTAGAGGTTCATACCATCACTGAAAACAACTTAAAAGCTTATATGGAGTTTTGTGGTGATTTTATTGTTGTGTTGGTGGTTTTCATTTTTTAACATCTACAGATTTATGTTTTGATCCTTATTTGAACCAACAGCAATGGGTGCAAGATTAGAACCCTCCCTCTGACTACAACTTCATCAACCTCTTCCACTTTTTCCACTCGCTCTGCTTTCAAACCTAAACTCCACACAATTTCCTCTCCTCACCCCCTCTCCAGTAGGTTTAACCCTTCAGTTCACACAAACTGTTTCCAACAACAACTTTTTTGGCAGACACTGTATCTTCCTTTCCAAGAGAAATATGAGGAAATAAGTTAAACTTCTCACACCCAGGTTACATGCTATCTGTTCCTTTATGTGTACAGAATATTGTCAAAACACAACACCATCACTAAATTATCCAATCTTTCCTCTCAACTTTCACCATCCATGTTTGACCTCCCTGATCTTTCCTGCTCAGTAAGACTCCCTGCATATTTTGACATTGATACTTAAACTATTTCTGCCATATTCTTACCAGACTCTCAGAAAACTGTACTGTTGTTACTTTGAATCTGTTAATTGTATCCAATATAACCTTGAATATTTGATCCAAGGTTCAAATCAATCCCATTACTTCTGAATGCCATTAATTTTGGACATACTGCACAGACTTCCCTGTGTTAGGCCTTCCTCCATGTTTGAAGCTCCTGTCATTCTAGATTCAAGAAACTATTTTTACTAGCAGACATTAGCAATCCGTAAGCAAAAACCATCTAGACTACTTCAAGTTTTTTCTCCCCCCCAAACACTCAAACATGTGTTTATGAAGATTATGAATATGAACAGAATAAAAAAGCATCAGCTGGGAAAGAAAAAACACAGCATTCCTCTTACCAAGATAAAAAGGTTGGAGTTAATTACTGTTTAAAGTTACTTTGCCATGTAGCAAAAAGTAACTTAAGTTCTCAATTCAAGGGAAAAAACTTGATCTTAATTTAGCAGTTGTGTTTCTAGTTATCATGCATCCAGATTACAGAAGTCAAATGTCTGACAACACAAACAGCATAATTGTATTGTATGAGGTAATAGAGAATTAAGGTCTGTTAACCCAATGCAGGTTAAGAATTACTTAATTTAAATAATTTCTAGGTTTTTAGCTAAATCTGAGAGTTGATATGGGCTGAAGTTCAGTATGGAACTGAAGCATGATACCTAGGTGCCTTTGTTACTTTGACACATTATACAGGCGTGTGGCAGTTTTGAAAGGACCAAGAGAAGTCCTGTTTGTGAAGTTAGAGCAAACTGAGTGAGCTGTCATGCTATCTGCACACCACAAACATTTCCACGTAATGGCAAAGTTATTTCAAAGATTGTTACAGCTTCAAGAGTCTTTTTCATTAGTCATCATTTTAGTCTTTCTAAAAGGTATTGATAGGTTCAATGTAGGCAGCCGGAGCTGAGGAATTACACTGCATGCAACACTGAGGAAATAGATAAAGAAGTGGATAGCACAGTTCATGCAGCGAAAGAAAAGAGATGAAGGTCTGTGCTGATTGCCTTGGCCACAGACAGACGCTGACACTGACCTGGGGGCAGCTGAAATCAAGGAATTACTTCCACTTCTGCTATATGAAGTAAAGGCATCATGGTTCTCATCTTGAATTTTAACTCTTTTTCGCTCTCTTTCAGGTTCAACTACTTTTTGCATTGCTTGAAGAGCTGTATTTATCGGTGGTACTTCAAGAGCATGTTTTTTTGGAGAAACATCACTTTGCTCCATGTTCTTGGAAGTCATCTTTGTTTCTTCCTTACTTGGCGATTGAGTGAGAGCAGCTTCTTTTACTGAAGTATTTTTGCTGTCCAAGTATTCACAAGTAGCATCCACTGGAATCTTCTCCCTCCTCTTTTTTTTTTTAATGCCTTTCAGTAATTCTAAGAAAAAAGGAATATACTTTCTGTACACAGTGAAGCTGGAATTGTCCATCAACATTTGCAATAAAACTAATAAAGAGCATTTCACATGACTAAAGACCTTGGAATAATTCTTCATTGACAACTTGTATCTTTTAAAGAAAGTCCCTTCATATAACCTGTTATCAGCTAGTAAGCATCCCAATATAAGTTAGCCTGAAAAGAGACAAAGCCTTTCTCCCCATCCACTCGACATTTTTACCAAGGCTTTTAATTAGATGCTCTGAACTACAAAAATATGCTCAATTATTTTAATTCCATCTTGGAGCCTGCTGAGGTAAGCTTCCACAACTAAGATTTTAAAATTAAATCCTTGGGGTATAGACAGGTACTAACCAAATTTGCCCATATGGTTCCCCATTCATCTTCCTCCACAATCTACATCTCCCTTGTTTCTGCGCATACCCAGCAATCAGCTGTTTTTGAGGTGGGCCTTGGCTGTCAAAACTTAATCCATATTAATCTGAGCTACTGAACAGTTTTTCCTGTAAATGCTCTGCACTCATTACAAAGCTTGCATCAGCTGCCTACATTCAGAAAGCTGGTACCTCTCATCAACAGAGACATCCTGCTACCATTATGAGAAGCACCTCCTGAGAATTTGTTCCCACCTACTTCACTATGGTGATCTAGCTATATGCTATAAAGCCTCTGAACACTGTAATTTGTATTCTTTAGTCTTCTGAAATCAGTGTTAGTATACACATTGAAGTAAGATAGGGCTTTAACTATTTCAGTTTGGCAGTTTTTGGACCAAGTTATTATCAAAAAAGCAGCCATTTAAACATTAGTTTACATACAGAACTAACCCAATTACCAGATACTTCTTTTTTTTCCATATGGAAAAGCAGTATTTACCTTCAGGTTCGTATTTCATTTTTAGCTCATCCAGCATCACTCGCAAGTTCATATTCTCACTCTGACAAGCTTGCAAATGCCTCTCATTTGCGAAAAGCTTCCTTTCAACTTCCAGAACCCTTTGGCTCTCATATAGAGCTTTCATCCTCTGCAAGGATAGTTCGTTTTTCAAGGTTTCAGCTTCCTTGCTGGGGTAGAAGGAAAATTATACAGTCACTCAGACTTGGTTTCTTTTGTGGGTTTTTTTGGTTTTGATGGGGTTTGTTTTTTTAGTGAGGAAGCAGATACAAAGTCATCCAGGCATTCAGCAACTTCCCATAAAATTCATATTTATCTCTGCTAAGAAATGAAAGGGACCTCCTCCAGTACAATGAAAGTTTTCACTTAAACTTGGTCTAGAAGAGCAAGTTTAGTTACCAGACACAAAATGCTTGTTAAAAAAATAAATAAAAATAAAGCTGTATGTTGAACACACACGCATACATAACTGGTTTTAGAAACTTTCCCTAACCTATAAATTCACTATTTTGTTCAGGTTTTTCTAGCCTGTGTATAAGTTAATATAACTACTTCTATAACTGACAAAACAAGCTTTACACAAAAGTGTTACTTTAAGTAACCAATACAAAAATAATGATGTTAATACTCAGTGCACATCCTTGCCTCTGTTTCAGAGACCATTAACTTCCACATCATAAGCACTGAATCCCCACTCCTCAGCCATCCTAATGTACACTTTCATCATGCCAGTTTCTCATAACAACAACAATGGTGAGGTGACAGACTTTACAGCAGACCATTGTTCCTGGTGGAAGTGCAATTACTTTATCCAAGGGCTTAAAAACAGTCCTGAGCCCCAAACACTATGGTCTCTCTAATTAATAGATATGGAATTCACTAGCTAAAGAACACATCTCAACTAAGTGGTCCACTACAACATTTCAATGTTATCATCTGGCCCTTTTTAGAAAGGAAATAAATATATACAGCCTATAGACTTTAAGAAGATTCATACAGTTCCCTTACAGGTTATTTTTTAATATATATTTTTAAATTTCTCAGTTACCTTGTATCTAGGTATATTAACAACATTTCTAGAAGAAAGCAGTAATAATATAAAATAGTTCTGCTGCTGTCTTTTGCAACACTAAGTAAAATGACAAACAACACAACTCTCAGTGCTGTAACAAAGATAGGATGGTTCTACAGCATTAGAAAATGAGACCATGAGCCTATATGCACATCCAGTCAGTGGGCTACATACAAACATTAACAAAAAATGGAGAATAAAAACAAGTAGCTAGAAGATAAACAGATTACAACAGATTTCTAGGCCGCAGACTGTTGAGTACCTACTTTGCATTGTCAAGTTTCATTAGCAGTAAATCTGCATAGTAACCATCTTCAGATTCTCCTCCTTTTGAGCTACTACTAGCTCTGGATTCTTCCATATTCCCATATAAAGTCTGATAAAGAAAAAATGTCAGGTTGTCAAATAGTGACTGTTTGGAAGCACATTAACTTAGTTCTTAAATGAATTTTTCCTTGCATTTCTACTACGAAACCTCATCATAGAGACTTTCAAACATACAAGAGCTCATTTGCTCTGAGTACTTCCTCATTTGTTATAAATGTGAAATAGCACTGAAACTGATAGTGTTCTCTCATTCACTGAAAGAAAGAAAAAATTATCTTAACTCCACAAGGTTTTCAAACAGCACTACAGAACAGCTATCTTCCTTTTTACTTGACAATATAGGTATTTTAATTAACCCACAGGGAATTTGTTTCAGCCTTTACTTCTAGGCTTAATCCGCTGGACCCCAAAAGAGTATATGCCATGTTAATCATAGTCACAATCTCAAAATCAATTACCTCTTTTAGATGAGAAAGTTAATTCACAGTAAAGATGACATGAATGTAATAAGCTTTCTATAGAATTCATCAGTAAGATATGACATTCTGGGGTTTTTGTCTTGTGTTTTTTTCTGAACAAGCAGTTCTCAGATTTATTACTGTCCCACAGATATCTCAGACTTCTATCAGTCACTGACTACAGATACTTTTGATGGTTACTCAAATCAATCATTTAACTTCCTGACACTGTTTTTTTATGGCATAGAAACAAAACTAAATACTTATCAAGCTTATACACGACAAAACTGGTAAAGCAATCAAGCTAAACTGGGTTAAGCCTAGCTTTATGCCACTCTGGTTAAATGCAGAATAGAGGATGCCATCCTAGAAAGCATAATCCTAATGCATAAGCTAATACACCTAAGTTTACATTCCAAAGCTCTGATAAGAAAGAGCCAAACAAGTCCATAAGTATGTAAGAAAGGCTAGAGTTTTTCACACTGTATACACACAAACCAGTAATATTAATATAGTGCATACAGGTATTCTCACATACTACTTAACTTCCAAAATATTGACAGAATGCTATCAAGTTGCATAGGTGGACTAAAGAAAAAGCTTTACAAGGATGATTAAGTATTTCAGTTTTCCTAGAAGAGCATGCTTCAACTGCAAAGTTCAGACACATTAAGGAAATAAATATCCAAGAAATCCCATATAGAGACTAAGAAGTGATAAAGCCTAAGTACATGCAGTAAAAATGTGAAATGGTTATATCTTCCAAGAGACAAATCAGATATCACAGCTCAGTAACTCTGACCAAATAAATGGATTTAAACACTACAGGTAATTATTTAAAATATGAAGGTGCTGCACAACGGAACCCAGAAAATACTGTTTCTCCAAACTGGGCGTTGCATTCTATAGAATTTTCTGCTTCTCTGAACATCTGTCCTCCAGCTGTAAAATGGAACTTTGGTCAAATAAAAGTATGAATAGCCTTTGGATCCTTTTTCAAACCTGAGCATGGACTTCAAGTAGATTTCATTAATTCATATTGTCATGTTTTACCTTCTGATTATGACTTTTCCACTTAATTACAGACTACATACCTTAAATTTTTCTAGCTGCCTCACTTTGATAAGAAGATCTTCTATCTCACCATTCTTTTGCTCTAACATCGACTGTAAGCGTTCCAGCTGCTCAAATTCAGCCTGAGAGCCTTTCATCTGTAGCAGTGTAGCCATCTGCAGCTGTGGGGGGGAGGAAATAATCTTTACAACAAATACTAGGTTAAGTGACTGAAAATCTCAGCCTCTTACCCAGAACAGTTAGGGTACTCAAGCCTTGTAATTCTAATCCTGAATATAGAAGGACACTGGATGCATTAACTCAGTAGTCTTTACAACACAGTCTTCACAATTATCACCATAGGTTGACAGTAAAAATCTTTAGGACAGCTGAAAATTTAGTGAACAGAAGGGTCCTAAGGTGTCATATCTTTCTCCATATTAAGGAACCTATAAAAACACGCTGTCAAGGACACACACAACATTTCACAAACCATAAACACCAAGTTAGTCAGCTAAAACCAAGCTACAGTTCAGGCTTGTTTATCAGAGCTAAACTGCATCTATAAAGAACTTGGCAAAAAGCACTCTAGTTCATTAATGATTTTAAAATTCCTGTCTTGCAGTTCTGATTCTGAGTTATAATCAACAACTAAGTCTGCCTTCTGTAATATTAATCCAAGGACTTCAGCTTCTTCTAGTCCTTCAGTGGAATGCATCCTTTCAACCAAAGGAACACCTTTTGTCAGTACAAAAGAAAAAGTTTATCAAAGAAAAGTCTTGTACTTATGCAGATTTTCCTGATGCTGTTAACATAATATCATAGCATGAAGGCCTTAGCACATTCAGTTAAAGTGACACATCAGACTTCTAAACAACTAGAGAAATAATATGAAATGCAATAACATAAAGACTTAGCAGGGTGTTAGTGGTAACTGTAGCATTTTTACCAGTATAGTCAGTATGGATAATGTAACACTGTAGGACACTTGGAGAAATCACAGGGAAAGGATCAACTGAAACAAACTAGACCACAGATTAACAGAGAAAGTAAGAGAAGAGCATTTACCCTACGGGATCTCCTATGTCAAGTAAAGGATATTGATGATCCTGTACAAAAACTAGAGCTAAAGGAAGAGTCAATCATCTCTTCATAGCTCTACAGGACATAATTTTAATCCCCACTGGTTGAATAGAACTATCCTTACGTTTCCCAAGCACGTAGACATCTAACCTTTTCCCCTTTCACTTAAAAGCCTGATTGCTAACTGTCAGAATTGCAAATTGAAGTTGATCTACATAAAAACAAAGTACAGAAACATTAAGAAACTGGAAGGGATACTGTGGGCTAGGGAAAATACACCAGACATGATAAAGCTTTCACAGGAGTACTGCTTACATTCTGTTCAGGAGTCAGAACTTCAGAAGTCATCAGTAAATACCACGTTCAGACATTCTGACAACTAAAGCTGCAATAACAGTTAACTATACTGTGGCTATCAGCTGCCAAACGAAGAGCTCAGTTAACGATAGACTGAGCTTTAACACAGAGCATCACAATACAACACAAAGCAGAGAGGATCCTAACAAAGATCTAAGATGGCAGCTTAAGCAAAACAACTGTCCTAAGAAACTATCTATCTCCAATATTAATACAGGTAGAAAATTTATGGGCACATACAAGTAAATACTTAAGTAGTAGGACAGATACCAATTTGCCTCAGTTCCTGGTGAAAATCTTCAGGACTAGGAATGTTTCTTATACCAATCACTAAGACTGATGCCCACATTACAAGGAGAAAGCTTCTGAAGAAACTGATCCTATTCAATCATTTTACTCACTCAAATCTTTACCTCTCAAGGTCAGATCTTAGTAAAGGATAATTCCTTCGCTGCATCAATAGTTATTTTCTTGTCCTTTAAGAATTATTTTCAACCTGCTTCTCCACAAAAGCTCAGTAACGCAAACCTGTATCTTCAGTGTTACCCATTATCATCACTTGGTGTTTGAACACTCTCAAACTGCATAATCAAGTATTTAATCAAAATGTTAAGGATCAATTCTTGTGTTGGACAATATGACCAACATGAAAACAGGGGCAGTTTTGCTGCAACCCCTTTATGTTATCTTGTAAATCAGCTTTTGCTAACTAGTTCTCAGCAGTATTAAGTGGTTCCCATCCTATAGAAGTGTAGTCTAAATCTAACAGTTATGACAGAAGTTATGACTTATTCTTGCCCTAAAGAGGGAAAAGCAAGGAAAACATTGACAAACAAAAACATGAAAGCAACCCAGAGGGGGAAAAAAAACCCAAACCAACAGTGCAGTCAGAGGACAGCATACAAGCCTGCCCTTTTCTTTACATTCATTCCTGACAACCACAGTTAATACACAAATAAATGATTCATGTAGTATGAGAATTAGATAAGAGAAGCAATTATCAAGACAAATCTAATGCTAGTTTGACTGACAGGAGTTGTGTTTTATCCATTTAACAACTACTGCCAAAGTAAGCAAACATAGTGCTTTCAGTGTAACTTGGAGTTCTAGAATAAAGTAGTAGCACTAGTAGCAATAAAAAAATGCTGATGTACTATAGAAGTCAAATAGCACAATGACATCTCACTTGTTTTTTCTCCCATTTCCCTCCCCCCAGACTACTGTATCATATTTTAAAAGATAATCAAATCTCCTAGCCTGTGTACTCAAGAATTGCTTTATCAGACCCCAAGGAAATCCTGCAGTATTACAGTAATGGTCATACCTTCATTCTTTGCAATTGTTCTCTAGTGAATGCATGTTGTTTTTGTAGTGACTGATATTTTATTTTCACACTGATCAGCTGTCGTTCCATTTCTGCTCTACGGTCCTCCACCTACAGAACATTGTTAACAATTATTACTATGACAATTATAACATTTGTGTCACTTGGATTATGAGTTTTACAAGATGTTGCCTAGCAACTAACCTTGGTTCTACAAATAGTTTTTCCAGCAACAGTACTTGAAAATATGTGCCACTGTCACTACCTCTGAGTGAGTAGACAGTGCTGTAGCAGCTGAAGTCCAATCAGTAAAGTACAACAGATTTTTCTTTTATTCATTTGATAGCAAAATTAAGTAACATTCCATATGCTTCAGTATTGCTGTAGAATTATGTTGTCCATTAGCATCAGAACAAATATTTTTAAAAATATCAACTGTGTACCAATTGAACCCATTCCCTGGGTGTTGTCAGAAAACAAAATAAACTTCCTATGCATTTAGCAGCAGCTGAACTCTTGATTCAAAAACTAATTCAAAGACCCTCCCAAATGCTCAAACACCCAGCCATTTTCAGCATGTTTTTAAAAGACAGCTCTTATCAGCATCTTTTAATATTTCACATGCTATCTTCTGCATTGAAGAAAACTTACCAGCTGAACAAAACTACTTAAGAACTAAGAGCTGCAGACAGAACTTTTATCTGGATAGCCAGGTAACTTTAAGTTTCCATTAAGAATTTTTAAGATTCCATTAAATTTACTAACTCAACTTCAGAGCATGCATGAAAACCGCTTTCCACAGGTCAGTTCCTATGCAGTTCAACACTGAAGTAGTATTTGAGGAAAAAATTCATGCTGGCCAGATCAGGCACAGATACTCTAAGTTTTTTCAATGCAATAATAAATAAAATTAGGAAGTATTTCTTCTCTGTATATTCTCAGGTATCTGTGGCATAATTGTACCTCAGCAAAGAGCGAATTGCCTTTACTTGTAGGGTCCAAAGATTGTTGCACTGCATGATCCAGTTGAACCTGAAGCTCCTGATTAGCTTCACGAGCTTTCTAGGTTAAAGCAAAGAGGATATTAGTCATTTAAGCATCTGATGTACTGCATATGAATTTTATCAGAGAGTTTTACCTCCTTTTAATTTCCTGTGCCTTCAGCACAGATTACATTGTACTGCAGTACTTAACTACGCATAAGTTCTAGTCAGTAAGAGACAATTTTGTGTCACTAAAAGGCCTAATATTCCACTTGTTCTTCAGGACAAGAGCACAACTAAAACCTCTAAAGGAAAACTTAAGTTTATCAACTGGATTAATGGTACTGAGACTAGTAGCTTTGCTGTGCTATTTAGTCACAAATTCTCTACTCTCCAGCACAAAACTTTCCAAGGAGTTCAGTAGGAACTTTAAATAAAAATGAGAAGTGAGAACGTCCTGTTATGAGGCAGTGTGCTGCAGTGCAAAGGATCTCTACACACAGCCTTCCACAGGATGCCAATACAGAGAGTATTTAGCAACAGGCTATACCCAAGATGACTAGCCACTGCCCTTTTTTTATCTCTGCCTTCTCTTTCCCCCTCCCTCCTCAGAACTCCTCTCCCAAAACTCCTCATATTTCACTGAAAAGCTAGCATCACAGCTTGTGGAATTCAAGGATTATCTACCACTATTGAATAAAATTAACAGAATACCTCTAATGCATTACAGTAAGAAACAACTTCTTTTTCCCTCTCTTCTTTTTCTTCCTGTAGACGCTCCAGCTGATTACGTAAGTTACTGTTTATGAGTTCTAATTGTTCTTTGCTGTACTGCAGTTCGTTCAGCTTTTCTTCAATATTGGCCTAAAGGAAAAAAAATCAAATAGGAAAAAAAATTTAAAACAATTTGAAGAAAAGCAGGCCCAAATGAACTGGTTTGTTGGTAGTAATTATTTTTAACACAAAATATTATCTTCACGAAGAGATTGTATTAAAGTCAAGTTAAGGCTACTATTTTCTTCTGTGCATATTGTTTTAATAGTAAGCCAATAAGGTAACAATATACACAAAATATTTTAAAATCAAATGAGCAAAAGTGCAGAGTTTTATCTTCAACTAGCCTACATTCCTAAGGATTCAGTACTAATCACAGACCTTAACACTTTCAAGTTCAGTGAGTTCTATCTGAAGATTCAGCATTTCTGAAGACATGGTCTCATGTACACGTTCAGACATCATATGTATTTCTTCTGATTTGGCAGAAATTATTTCCTTCTGATGATCCACTTTGTGTCTCAGTTGTTTCTCTGACAGTCGGGTTTCATCTAGTTCTGCTTTCAGGTTCTCCAACTTAAAGACAGTTGACAATTAAGTAGCACCATTTCACAGTAAAAAGTATAATTATTTTCAAGAATTATCTTTGTTCTAATTACAGAAAATTTCTTAGAAACACAAAAGCAAACTTTGAAATTTAATGCAATTCACAATGTAACTATGCAGATGTTAAAAAACAACCAAAAAAGTTCCTACACATTATAACTATTTACTAGATTTGTTTTGGTAGTAAGTGTGCAATTACAAGTTAAATACACATTCTTTAAAATGCTACATTTTAGCTGTATATTACTTGCCAAACCTTATTTTTAAGGTCACTGATTTCTTGTCCATAGACTCTGTCAAGTTGTTCTTTCTGTTTATCCAGTTGCATGCTTTGCTGCTGCTTAAGGGAATCACATTCAAAACTCAAGCTTTCCAACATTCGATTCTTGAGTTCAATTTCTCTCTGAAGAGAGTATTTCTCTTGTTCAAATTTCTGAAAGAAATAACATACTAATAGATCTAGATGTAATAATTATAAATGCTTGGGAAACAATGCACTAAATACAGGCTCAGTACCAAGACACTAAATGCCTAAAACTTGTAGCTCATTCAACCTTTTATTAAAGTCTCAGTTATGAAATTGTTTTTTAATTTTTTGTTAAAACATGGGTATGACAACCAACCTTGCCCCTCCCAACTGCTCTGAAATTTTATTACTTATTTGGTTGCATAATACTCTTTTCTTCATGGAAGCTGTATTTCTTTGCACCCAACATAAAGGATGTGGGAAATTTAGCAAGAGCTTACACACCTTTCTACCACCATGCAACTCGATTATATTACAAAGTTGTAATCCAATTCCATCAAGTGTTCCTGTGCTGTGGAACAGCCAGGTTCAATGTCTGGTAAAGATATCTAAATTGTCTGCTGTTTTGTAATAAATCCCATCAACCCTTCCAGAGTGAAGAATAACTTTGTAATCAGCTTCCCTCTATGCCTAATTGTATATGTTTGCTAATTATAAAGGGCAGCTTCATTTTACTCTTCCATTAAGCTAGCAATTAAGAAGAAAAAAATTTAAAAGGACAGTCTTGAAAGCAGAAAAAGTAAATACCAAAACAGTATCAGTCTTAAGATGCAGAATTTTTTTTTTAATAAAATAAATCTTAACACACAAACCAGTATTAAAAAAAACCCCTAACATAAAACTAAAAGCTGTCAGGTGTGAAATTGACCTCTATGGTCTAGATACCACCTTATCAAGGACAGGCTTAGCTCTCAAATATGCAAGACAAGAGTTGTAACTCAAAGATAAAGACACTGCATGGAAAAGGTTTGGGAGCGCACTGCTGGCCAGATCCATAAAAGGCAAAAATCTAGCCTATGTCTACATAGACTTTTACAGAAGCACACACTGATTCTTCTGACAGAAGAAATCAAACTAACACCGTAAGTTTGTATGACTGCTTGCTCCCAAATCTACTAGATCAGCACCTTCTATTAAAATTTACACTTGTGTTCATGGTAATTGCTTTGGCTCTCAGTTTCCAAAGAGATCCACATATTCAAAAGTTCAAAAGAATCTATTGGATTACCACAGTTGCCACACAAGATGTTATATGACTGTATGGAAGCACACAATTTCTTCCCTCTGCCCTTGGAATCTAAGTTACTAATTGAGCTGGTTCACACAAGCTCATAACTTCGCTCCAGCCTATAACACAGGATTACAATTTATGGGTGCAACTTCAAAACGTAGTAGCCACCATCTCACGTTGTCTGCAGAGAAGGATGGATCTCGCTCTGCCTTCCTAATCACTTGTGCTTTCCAGCTGCCTCTCTTGCACTAAGCTTATCAACAGCAAAGTGACCAAAGTCATTACGGTTCATTCAGAATAGCAGGGCACTACAACTCCCCAGCTGGTAAAAAAACACCCTCAAAACACCCACACAAAACAAAACCACAAACATTTTAGCTCTATCACAAGAGAATGGATGGATGCACAGACAGAAACAGACTAAATGAAGAGAAATAGTATATACAAAGCATGGGTGACCCCCCCAAAAAATCAAAATTAAAAGTGTTTATGAACAGTGGGAGAGATTTTCCTGATTGGATTTTTCTTGCACAATTACTAAGAAAACTGGTCAACTAAATAATATCTCTATATTTCAACACGTCAGCATTGTTTTTTCTGAGCTATAAAGAAACATACTAATAAATTCAGAATCCTGTGGTATTTAGAAAATGTGAAAACTTCACTACAGAAGAAAGCAATTTTGCAGTCCTGCGGCTAGCATTCTTTTTACAGCAGTGAGCAACACAAAGCTTGCAGGTACAGCATAACATGAATGAATTTCTAAACATACCCAAAATACATGCTTTAAACAGATTTACTTTAGCACTTAGTATTAATTTTACATTAAAGGCCATTAATCCTACACAGTATTTAACACTGGATGCATAATTAGCTACAAAACCCTGTCCCAGTTAGATAAAATTATGTTCAATATCCTACAGCAGAGATAAAAAGCCCTCTACAAATAATTAAGCTAAAAAAGGTTTATTAAAATTAATCTAGACTCTAAAACGCATTTAAAATACTTGTGACATTCAAACAGTTAAAATAAAACAAAGTTCTTGACTGGTCAGTTTTTTACTCAGAGTTTAAAACATCACCTCAGTTTTCTCGGTCAATTCAAGGCGTGTTTGTTCTAACTGATTTTGAACTTCACTTTGGGACTCCAATAAATGCAAGCCATACTGTGCTGCCTTTCTTCGCTCATTTTCTGCTTCCTTGAGTTGATGTCTAAGATGCAAAATGGTCTCTGACTCCATTTTTCTTCCTTTTTTTACTGCAATATTGCAAACACAAAATGATTTAAAAATCTAACCACTGTAATTTATTGCAGTAATCTGAAAGAAGTTCCTGTATTTCTTAATCAGGATACAAGGATATACTTTTGCATTAATACAAGACACAAAGAGAATAGCTCATGAGCAAACAGTCCTGTGAACAGTAAAATAATAGCTATTTCTCCATAAATTTAGTTAACATCTTAATCATGACTATGGCTTAAGTAAGAGCACACAGCAATACAAGTCCAGCGTACCCAGCCCTGTTTCCTAGCACACTCAGAACCAGAGTTAATCTAGTATATAGCTATCTCACCATATGCAAGAGAAGGCTAGGAAACCTTGTAAAAACACTTTTATGCCTATGGCTGACAGTATTTTCTATGGTATTATAAGTAAAGCCACACTGACTGTAGCATTTCTTGTGCACACAAATAACATTTCATATTCATGTAGGCAGCTGTATTAGCAGCATAGTTTACTCCTAATACCATTATGTGGGATACAGAAACTGATAAAGGTCACTGATTGCAAGAGTCAGAAATAGAAACCCCGTTAAAATATATGGAATTATTTATTTATTAGGTTTAATGGGATCTTTCATGACTGTTTTCCACCTTAAGTCACTGCAGGTAAGCTGTTAATAACTATCTCTTTGTCATGTTTCAGAAAATTCATCCATTTCTATCTTCTTATCATAACAGAAGACACAAGGTGAATTTTCCAAAAAGTTCGTCAAAATAAATCCAAACAAAATATTTTAAAAAAATAAAAATCAAGGCAAACTAACACTATAAGTTTCCATGACTGCTTGCTCCCAAATCTACTAGATCAGCACATTGAAAAAACATCCTATTAAGACCGAAAATGCTAAGCAACTCAGGCTTCCAAACAACGTAAGCCAAGAGTTCTCTCAAAAAGTATGCAGTAACAATGATATACAAATACAAAAAGAGTCAGCAGTTGATTTTTCAAAGCCAGGGTTCATAATTTTTATATAATTTCAAGATTAATGTAATTCTTCATTGAAGACCTTATTCTGGGCTTTTTCTTTTAACAAATTTAGTTGTCACCATTTCTTACTGGAACATATATTATTCTTATGAATGTTACCAAGATGCTGGACTTAATCAAGAGCAAATTTCAAAGCTCAATACAGGAGCAATTATTTCTAAGTCATTATTGTAATATACAACCTTCACTTTTTTTCCCTAACTAGCTTCCTACAACACACAGAAGTACATCATGTCAAAACTGCACTAATTCCTTTCAGAGGTACAAGATAGAAATTATCAAATTCTGTTTTTCAAGTTTTCCACCACTTGTTATTCAAATTTAACATAAAAAAGACTGTCCAGTCAGGCTCTGCAATGTCAGTTTTTGACATCTAACCATTGCAATGTTGGAAATACTAGTTTCGTAGAATCATCCTAAAATAAGCCAGTGAAAAGACATGAATTTTGCACAGCTATAACTATTACCAGTGCAAAGACACATACACTGTGTATAATTTAATAACAAAATGTTTAACAGTACGATGTATCACTACAAGCATACAGGCAACCACTCCTGGCTTGCATTTGCATTAGTAAAGGGGATGAATTAATCCTTATTCACTTCATAAATAGAATTTTAAAAATAGCTTTATTTTCCGATCAAACAGCAGAATAGAGGCAACACAGCAAATTGTTTCCAGTTTACCAAATTATATTTGAGTAACATTTTTAACCCACCTTCAGAAGTCCACTGAAGTCGTTCTTAACCTTATTCTTGCACTCCACCTTTAAAAGGAAAAATAAAAAGCAACAGTTGTCTAGTCTGAATGAGTATAAAATGCCATTATAGCACAGTCCTTCGTAGCAGTCCTTTATTGAAAAGGTTTAACGCCTGTGTCTGTCTCATGAAAATGCAGATCACAAGCTAAAATCCCACAGAAATGCAAATCTTATTCAAATCTCAGTTGAGGCAGCTGTCAGATAGTTTAGAAACAGCCAGATCAGGCAATGCTGCCAAAGGATAAATTCTCTGCAATTGGCCTGTGGGGCAAGTAAAGAGGCTACCCCCAGGGTTACCTTCTTCTAGCACACATATAATTTTTAAGGATAGTTTTGAGGATTTTTGTCTTTCTCCCTCCTACTTACACTCTTTTGCCTGCTATCCAGTGGTTTCACCTACAGGACCTTTGAGCTCTTAATAAATCATTTACTGGATAATATAAAAAAGGATCTTAGGCTTTTCTTTAGTTTTATAGTTGAAGTATGGAAGAAACAAGAAACAATTTTCCTATCCACACATTCCTTGCTATTAAGGAAAACACAGCAAACCTGCTTTTCGGAGCACAGACATCCTCAACTTTCCATTGTCAATATTGTACTAAGTTAGTCAGACAAGTCCAGGTAGTTTTGTTCATAAAGCTGGGAAATAATTGCCAGCAATTTAATATTTTACGTGAGACGAACTAACCTCCACTGAAAATGACGTTTTAAGATAAATAGGTTGTAGAGTAAGCAGGTAGGAGGGGAAATAACAGAAATCAGTCTCCATTTATTCTACCAAGAGTTGCAAGATAGTTACTTTTGGCTAATTATCTTCAAACATTTTGTGATGGATTCTATACTGAGGGCTCCAGACGCTGATTATTCAACCATTCAAGTACTCCTTGATGAAAATAATAAGACAGGAAATAAAAAGGTACTCTCCTGGCATACAAACTTCCTTCTCCCGCTCTATAACTGCTCTTCGAGTTAAAACCGCTATTTCCAAGGGCCATATGCAAAAGGCATCTCGATCTATTCAGAAGTACCTACAGTTTTCTGATCACTAACATAATGGACAAGATAGTTTCTCTCACTTAAACCCTTACAATTCAATTCACTTACTTAAACATGTCCGTTTCTTCACCTATCAAGTTGCACACTCAAGCGGAAATATTTTCAGGGCTAATCGCCTTCCACAAAACACATTCTTGGCTGGGTAAGTATTACAGAGAACAGGAAAAAGAAAAACAAAACAAAACAAAACAAAACAGACTCCAACCTGATCTTTCAGTCACTACAAAGCACTGGGCAAACCAGCACCTGGCTCTGTCGGCAGTTTGCTTCAGCAGCGCGGCGCAGTTTTACGCGCCCTCCCCTTCGGGGCGCGCCCGCTGGAGCCGA